TCTCCCATTGATGTTGAATCAATTCCAGGTTTGTCTTCCACAATGCTTTGATCTATTGTGCCTAGGTTTGTTTTGTTGGTTGTGTGAGGGTACATAATTTTTATTCACAGGGTACATAATATTTGTTCACAGGGTACATAGTTTTTGTTCATAGAGTGCATTATTTTGTGCAAAATATATTACATTATTGAACATGCTTAATGTGTTTATTAGATATATTATTTATATGCTTAATGTAAATTATTTACAGTTGATGGCACTTCGGGGGGTGCAACAGATGAGAGTTCACCAATTGGAGTTCAAGCTAGTTCTTCTAATGCTATGGATGAGAGTTCTTCAATTCCAGGTTCTTTTTAAAAAAGTTTTTTATTATTATCTACTTATTATTAGTTGTTTTTTAATTATATTGATGAAATGATTCGTTTTTTATTATTGTTTTGGTGTTACAATAAAGTATTTGCATGTTCTGTTGTGAATATTGTATTTCTGTTAGATGTACATTATTTCTGTTCAGTAGGTACATTATTTTAATCCACAAGGTACATTATTGTTATGCATGATTTATCAGTACATTCTGTTGTGTGCATTCTGATTTGAAACTTGTGCTTCTGATTAAGATACATTATACTTGGTCAGTAGGTACATTATTTTAATCCACATGGTACATTATTTTTATGCATGATTTATCTGTACATTCTGTTGTGTATTGATTGGAGTTTTTTCTTTTAGTGAATATCTTATTTCTTTGTAGAGCATGGCTGAATTTATTCGGCACACCCCACCACCCCTCTACTTAGAAATCAGATATTCACTAAACATAATATTAATGTGTTATGTTAGTAACTTGTTAGTTGTATTATTTTTTTGAAATTTACAGTTACTCAGGAGTTGTTGGGGATTACAGTTACCTCAATTGAAGAAGCATTTAATTTATATAATGACTATGCTTTTAGATTGGGATTCAGTGTTAGGAAGGGCAAGCAGTACTATGTTTCCGGTAGTCAGACTATTAAAATGAAGAAATTTCACTGTGCAAAGAGTGGTTTTAAGGACAACAAAAATAAAAAATTCAAGGTCATATTCAAGGGTAGACACACGAACAGGGTGTAATGCGTTTTGTCAGTTTGATTTGGCGTCTAATGGACAGTTGATTGTGACAAAACATGTAAAGGATCATAACCATGAGTTGTGTCCACCTTCTAACAGCTATCTTCTTCGGTCACACAGAAGTGTTGTTGATACCCAATTGGATTATTTAAAAAACTTGAAAAGGAGTGGGGTTGCATTGTCGGATGGCATTCGATTTTTGAAACACCAGTCTGGAGGTTCACCTTTGGTTGGATTTACACCAAGGGATGCTTATAATAGCCTGCATACAGATTCGATAAAGAGATTAGATGGGACCGATTCAAATTCACTAATTGAAATCTTTAGACAAAGACAGTCGAATGAACCCGACTTTTTCTTTGATTTTGAATTAGATGAGGATGCAAGACTGTGTAATTTTTTGGTGATTTAGTAGTGCATGACACAACGTATCGTACTAATAAGTATGATATGATTTGTGGTCCCTTTGTTGGAATGAATCACCACTGTATGAATATAATGTTTGGGTGTGGGTTTTTATTGAACGAGAGGACTGACTCATTTGTTTGGTTGTTTAAAACATTTTTGAGAGCTATGGGTGGTAAGTGTCCACAAACAATCATGACCGATCAATGTGCTGCTATGTCTGCTGCAATTTCTCTGGTTTTCCCAGGTGCAAGGCACAGACTTTGTATTTGGCATATTGGAGAGAATTTAAAGAAACATATTAAATGTCTAAGGAGTCAAAACGGCTTTATGGAGTTATTTAATTTTCTGTTGAAGTACACAGACACAGAAGCAGAGTTTGAATTTTATTGGAATATGTACATATGCTATTAAATTTATCATTTTATATATTTGATTTGCCATTCTTGCATTGTGACATAGATTACTTTGTGCTTATAAAATCAAACACGTGATGTTTTACCTTTCATGTTAAGTTGGAAATTGTAGTGTTTAGAAAATGTACTTTATGGGTTATAATAATGTACCTTATGAATTTTGAAAATGTATCTTTGCAGCAGCAATTTGATAAAAAAAATTCCTTATTTTTCTAGTTGCATTTAAAACTTAGATCTTTTCCTTGTTCTCTATGTGTGATTCCTTTGTAGCATGTAGTAATTTGTATTAATAAAATGAAGTGTCACACAGTTTTACCTTTCATGTTAAGTTGGAAATTGTAGTGTTTAGAAAATGTACTTTATGGGTTATAATAATGTACCTTATGAATGCTGTAAATGTATCTTTGCAGCAGCAGCAATTTGATAAAAAAAAATTCCTTATTTTTCTAGTTGCATTTAAAACTTAGATCTTTTCCTTGTTCTCTGTGTGATTCCTTTGTAGCATGTAGTAATTTGTACTAATAAAATGAAGTGTCATACATTTTTACCTTTCATGTTAAGTTGGAAATTATAGTGTTTAGAAAATGTACTTTATGGGCTATAATAATGTACCTTATTAATGCTGAAAATGTATCTTTGCAGTCACACTCAGTTTTGTTATTTTCAGGTTGGTTACGGACTATAATGTCATAAAAATGTTTGGTTAAACAAATTGTATGATATTAGGGAGAAGTGGTGCCCTGCTTTTAATAAAGATTACTTCTCTGGAGGTATCTTATCTTCCCAACGGAGTGAGACTACAAATCATTCAATTTCAAGAAGGTTATCTAAAACATCTGGGTTGTCTGATTTTTACAACTCTTTTGTTAATGTGGTTTCTGAGTGGAGGAGCAAAGAGAATGGGGAAGATGTGCGGTGTTCTCAAGGGTTGCCTACAATGGCATTGGATCATGTAAAACTTCTTTTACATGCTAGGAATGTATACACTATTGAGGCTTACTACTTGTTTGAGCAACAATTTTTGAAAGGTGCTGCTTGTCATCAAGAGAGTGTAGCGAGCAATGTTGATGAGCTTAAATATCACATATGGCGGCCGGATATTGACATTATTCGGCATGAGGTTTGTTTCAATATTAAGGATATGAACATATGTTGTACTTGCAAGTTTTTCTCCGAGATGGGTATTCTTTGTTCACATTGTTTGCGTATTTTGAACATTCATTGTGTTGAAAAAATTCCTGAGAAATATATTTGTAGAAGGTGGACAAAAAAGGTTGTTGAACACAGGATTATGGACATTGCATCTTCTTCTAGTATTTTGACAGTTGCTTCTCCAATTTGGGTTATAGATATGGGTAGAAAATGGCAAAGGTTAGTTCTATCAAGTCAAGACAATTGCAAAGCTCGACAAGTATGTGAAAACCTTATTGAAGATGGAAGAAGAAGGATTGAAGGTGAGGTTGGTCCTATTTGCTTTGATGATTTGGAAAGATCTATGCGAAGTAGTGGTATACAAAGTCCAGAACCAAGTGGTGTGAAAGGCGACCGTAATCGAAGGCCAGTTAGTACAGTACAAAAAAAGTATAATCAAGCAAGTGGCCGAAAAAATTATGCAAAAAGAGTTGAATCTAACACAAAGGCTGCCGTCCAATCTTCTATGCAGGAAGTTGTGTCTAATATTGTTGGCAGTGGGTATCTTGTTCATCCTAATGACACTACTAGTTCAGAATTGATTTGTGTTAGGTCTAAGTCTCAAAACAATTCAAATGATAATTAGGAGTTGTACTGAAATTTTGTTTACTTATATATGCACTTCACAGATTATGAATTGGTTTTATATTGTGTGAGTTATTTACAAATTATGAATTGGTTTTATATTCTGTGAGTTTTTAAAGGAAGTATTTGCACTTGACAAATTATGAACATTTGTGTTTTATGCAATAATAAAATCTTTTCTGATTTGGTAATGTATTCAGTGGGTTATAATAATGTACCTTGTGCTCTAAAATAATGTACCCTATTTGTTAACAAAATGTATCCTTGCAGTCTTCATTTTGGGTAGTGTACTCTATGGGTTAGAATAATGTACCTCGTGCTCTAAAATAATGTACCCTATATGTTATCAAAATGTATCTTAGTTAAGGTCACATGTTCTTGAATTGATCACCACTTAGAGTCTTAGAGATGACGGGTGGTATACTCCTCAACCCCAACCCCGTCCACGCCACCATGGGAAATTAGGGGAGGGGTTCGTTGGTAAAATGAACTATTATTTTATATTTTCAAAACATATTTTAATAATTTTTAAATTTGACTTTTAATTTTATGTTACTTTTTATAGTTTCTAAAAACATATTTTTGATTTTATGCATTAATAAAATATTTTCTTATTTGGTAATGTATTCAGTGGGTTAATATAATGTACCTTGTTCTCTAAAATAATGTACCCTATTTGTTAACAAAATGTATCCTTGCAGTCTTGATTTTGGGTAATGTACTCTATGGGTTGGAATAATGTACCTTGTGCTCTAAAATAATGTACCCTATGAGTTATCAAAATGTATCTTAGTTAAGATCACGTATTCATGAATTGATCACCACTTAGAGTCTTAGAGATGACGGGTGGTATACTCCTCAACCCCAACCCCGTCCACGCCACCATGGGAAATTAGGGGAGGGGTTTGTTGGTAAAACGAACTATTATTTTATATTTTCAAAACATATTTTAATAATTTTTAAATTTGACTTTTAATTTTATGTTACTTTTTATAGTTTCTAAAAACATATTTTTGATTTTATGCATTAATAAAATGTTTTCTTATTTGGTAATGTACTAAATTGGTTAGAATAATGTACCTTGTGCTCTAAAATAATGTACCCTATGTGTTAACAAAATGTATCATTGCAGTTGTAGTCACTTGAATTTTGGTAATGTACTATGTGTGTTAGAATAATGCACCCTATGAGTAACTCCACAATAGCTTCTGTTAATTGAGCAATTAACTCCACAATGAAAAGCAACTAACTGAAAAGCAATTAACACATAAACAATTTCAGCATATCTTGATATCACTAGCTAGCACCCAATTCAGCACCATCTCTGAATTGTTCAAACAAAAATTTCATCTAACACAAAAACCAACAATATTCATCTAACATTTTAGAACCATCAATTACAATGATCATTGTGTACTTATAAAGATTACGGGCTGCCTGTAGTATGGATTGTTTGTGCTCATTCATTGGTAAAAATAATATGTCGGCAGCATATTTTGCCCTCAAAGATGTCAAGAATATTGCCTGCATGTATATTCAACCAAAATGGCAGTTATATAAGTCCAATTAGGTATTTATAAAAATGAAAAACATGTACTTTAAATCACAATACTTACATTTGCAGGTGTTCTGTTAAATCCAGATTCCCAATTCGGACCATTACCCTTAAAGGTCTGCATATGACGCATGCAATAAACTCCACAATCAGTAACATTAGTGGCATTTTTCCAAGACATCTTCACCAATTCATGGTTAAACACATCATCCTCATCATCATGCTTTGTCATTTTGTTTAACAAAGTTGTGATCCTTTTAAATTTGCAATACTCTTTGAATGCATTAACCTGCACATTAGTTAATGTTCATTATAATATATCAAGTACCTAACAGTATTCAATTTAAACTCATAACAATCTTAGATTTTGCAACTCACTAGGTTTTGATCACAATTATCATATCTTTGTAGAAAGTTGGTATTCTTGCCCAGTGTTCTATTGTCAACTACTTGGACAACCCTTTTCTTGAAGTTCAAGCACATGATGAAGTAGTGATGATAGCGTATAACAGGGAAGAAAACCTAAATACATATGATTTTAGAAGTATATCCAATGAGTGTATATAAAATGAATTTCACATAATTTATTAATTTATAATATTATGCATGATAAATTACCAGTTCAGCATCAGAGATGTCAATGTTAAAGGCCAATTTAATCTCATAATCCAAAGATCCATTGAATCGTCTTTGTTTTTCCTCTGCAGAGAATTCTATTTTCCGTTCAGTAGCATCATCAATTTCCATCTGAACACAAAATTATATTACTAAGTAAACATATTACACCATCAAATTCTGTATTATATACACCAAAGCTTTATGTACACAAATAATGTACTCTGTGAACAGAAATAATGTACCCTGTGAACAAGAATAATGTACTTTGTGCAGAAAAACTAATAATCAATAAGAACTTGCATTATCAATTTACTTTTTTAATATAAGAGAAAGTTCAAGCACTTACAAAAGGATTGGTGGTGAAGTAGATGCATTTTGGTTCACCCATTCCACGAGTGATATTTTCAGAATTCATTCTTAAGCTCCAAACATCTATAATGGTCTTCTCTACTTCACCGTCCCGTAGAGTCAAGAACTGGTCCCTTGCAATGTGGTACCTTTTATACCTAAACAGTGTTTCACTGCAAGAAAAATAACTTTTTAACACATATTAAAGACAAACATTAGTATTAAACATAATTAAAGTGAAAACCTACTCTATTGGATGTTGAATAGACGGTTCCATGAATGCAAAATCAGACAGCATCTTCTCTTTCGCAGAGACAAAGGAGAGCTTTTCATTGTTTTTCGTCCAATATGGAGACCTCAATCGCAATGGAACATTTTTCAATTTTCTTTTCTCTCTCTCCCCATGTTGGACATTCTCCCTCTCTGATTCCTCAAGTGCACTGCCACATAAAAATAATGTACCCTACTCATTAAAATAATGTACATAGTGACCAGAAATAATGTATCTTAATCAGAAACACAACTTTTAGAGTTTAACTTACATGTCAAACAATGTTTGTTCCTTTTCTGTGCTTCTTTCCTCAGCAGGGAGTGTAGTAGTTGTTTCGTTTGGTTTTTGAATATCCGGGGGGGTAGGTGTTAACAAATTGAAGCGTGGTGGTGAAAATGTTTCAGGATCAACAGGTTCTTCGGTGATTGTGGTGGCCTTTTCCAATGCTTCCATTGCTGCCTTTTCCAATGATGCAACTGCTGCAAGAAAGCTCTCGCTGCTGAAGATTGGATCATCGTCCAATAATGTCGAAGTCTTGTCAGGCTGGGAAGTTGAAGCAATGTTCAGCATATCAGACATCTTGCTGAAAGTCTTCTTTATACTTTCTTGTCCGGTGTTTTTGCTCCCAACTTCCGCCATTACTTCCCCAAATTCAATTATGGCTGCAGTCAGTTTCTTCATTCCCATAGATATCTTCTCTACATCACTCATTTTAGCTTTATCACCAACTGCCTGTGCCTCCACCCCATCCCCAACAATGTTGTTTTCAATCTCAGCACCCGATTTCCTAACTCTTTCCAAGACTTTTCCCCTGCCATACCCACCAGAATTCTTTTCATCTGCTAATCTTTTTTGGACCATATCCATTGTCCAAACTGATATCGCAGGGTATTTCCTTGGGATTTGCTGCCCTTTAAATTGCATCCTATCAAGGTATGAAACCTAAATAAAAAAAATAAGTTAGTATGAAAGCAAAAAATGCATTAATAGAATAAGCAACATAAATTGAATTAAAGGTATTACCATCAAGAAGACCAATGGTCCAGTGAAGAATGTACTTTTTGACTTCTTCCATTTCTCCACTGTTGTAGTAAGACTATTAAAAATGTACCTACACCAATTCAAATTCTTGATGTTTTTCACGTCAATCAATGAGTACAAAATTTTGAAGTTTGATGTCCAATTAGCGTGGCCCTTGAACAAACTAGAAACAACAAACACCACAAAATCCCTTTTGAACATGTCCCCGTGGTCTTTCTTCTCAACTATACCATGGCCAAGTCTTTTCACCAATGGAGAACAATTGTCTAATTCCCAGCGTGTTCTCCATTCCTCCAACAAGGTTTTGTATTCTTCAGTTGCATTTGAGTTGTTCCCTTCAACAACTTCAACCTCACCCTTCGGGAGACCTAATGTGCTCTCCACATCATCCTCTGTGAGCTCCATCTTTGCACTCTCCAACATTAGGGAACAACTACAAACATCATAGTTTTCTACCAAATATGTATTTAGTGTATTGTCCATGCTGGACAATCTAAGCTCGAGTAATGATCCAAACCCAATCTCTTTAACCGCATTTTTTTGTTCATCACTGAGATTTGCCACCATTTTGTTAAACTCCATTGGTGACACCCTAGTCTTGAGCTGAATTTTCTTTGGAGCATTTTCTTTCTTTATAGTCCTATTAGTGGCCTTTTCTTTATTTCCGTCTTCTTCATTACTTGTAGATCTTTTCCTTTTCTGGTAGGTTTTGGTAACCTCTTTTAATGATAAATCTACTTCTTGGCTAGACATAGTTGCTGCAAGTAAAATGTTAGTTAAAGGAATAAATCCAGCGATGTTCTATTCACTAAAAGTGCTCATAAAATCATGAATTAAAATAGTCATGCTCTACAAAGAAATAAGATATTCACTAAAAGAATAAACTCCATGCACTACAAAATGTACAAAATAAATCATGCATAAAAAGAGGATACCCTGTGGATTAAAATAATGTATCTAATGAACAGATATAATATACCTTAATAAAAAAAAACAACTTTCAAATCTGAATGTACACAAAAATAATAAATTAAAATAATGTACCCTATGTGTTAAAATAATGTACCTAATGCATATAAGGAAAGGTGACACTGCACTCAAAGCCAAATAGAAGCTGGGAATGGAATTCATGTACTGTACAAAACCCCATACTCATTCAAAAGTCCCACAGACATCACAACCCATAAAGTACAGACACATATTTGATATTTGATTATATACCTCATGGCTCATGGAACTTATTCAAGCATTGGTTTGATTCATAGGGGTTCAGAAATGAAAAAAAAAACTTGCATGACTTCAGATCCTAAAGCGTTGTTTGCATTTAAATATTGACATTTTATTATTGCATAGGATCCCAGAGGGTCAAATTATATTCTAGTTTTCAACAAAAACTAGTTCATTGTCCTGGAAAGTGGAATTGGAGTTGGCTTACCACCAAGCTACTCTCCTAATCCCAGAAATGAAAAAGAATGTGTGGAGAGAGAGAATAGCATCTAGAGGACAAGACAGTAAATCATTAGCCACTGAAGTCTAAATACAAAAGACAGGAAGCAGAAGAAACCATAAAAATGATAGTCTCTCTGATCCTCAAAAAGCTCTGCAACAATGTAGCCAGATCTAACACCCACTTCCACAAAAGATCCATACACAATAATAATAAATTTCCCAACCCAATTTTTCTGGGTCTGTTACTTATGTGTCCCAATTACTACCAAACTCCAGATATCATAATTTTCTGAACCTTTTATCTATGGCCATTTCCTAGTACTGTCTCCTGAATATTACCAAAGAGCAGAGAACATTTCTTTCTGAGCTTTTATCTATAGCCATTTCCTCTTGAAGCTCTTGATTATGTTGTTAAAAAGTCCCACTCTTCAAGTTTGTAGCTTGTAAAATGCACTGTGAAGCCTTAACTCTCCAAACCTTTTCAAATATGCTGGATTTGATACATCAATTTTACTATTTCCATCAATGCTTTAGGACCATTGTTTACATTGTGCAGAACAATATGAAATTTTATTGTAATGAATATAGTGTCTACTTTAAACAATTGAAACCTGGAAAAGAAATCCTAAACACCTACTCGAAAACCACATCTAACACCCACTTCCACAAAAGATCCATACACAATAATAATAAATTTCCCAACCCAATTTTTCTGGGTCTGTTACTTTTCCATCAATGCTTTAGGACCATTGTTTACATTGTGCAGAACAATATGAAATTTTATTGTAATGAATATAGTGTCTACTTTAAACAATTGAAACCTGGAAAAGAAATCCTAAACACCTACTCGAAAACCACATCTAACACCCACTTCCACAAAAGATCCATACACAATAATAATAAATTTCCCAACCCAATTTTTCTGGGTCTGTTACTTTTCCATCAATGCTTTAGGACCATTGTTTACATTGTGCAGAACAATATGAAATTTTATTGTAATGAATATAGTGTCTACTTTAAACAATTGAAACCTGGAAAAGAAATCCTAAACAACTACTCGAAACCAGTAAGAACCCTAGGCAGTAAAAAACAACTACTCAAAAATCACAAAAACAACTACTCAAAACTCAATTTTAAAACCTAGGTAGTTGAAAATGTACCTAATCAGTAGATGGAGATGGCGTCGGAAATGGTGTACAAGAAATCTCTTGTGGCGTTCGTTTGTAGTAGGGCGCGCTGGAGGTGGCGTCGGAGACGGTTGAGATGCGCGAAGAAGATGGCGAAGAAACTGTCGAAGAAGCTGTCGGAGATGCGCGAAGAACCCCAACGTTCGTTAGAATTATTTTTTTAAATGATGTCTAACGGCGCCGTCTCTCCTTAAATGGAGAGACAGCGTCGTTTTGGGCCATGGTCCAGCCAACTTGGCTGGACCATGGTCCAGCCAATAATTTGCCAATGGAAACAAAACACTTCATTTAATGGACTAAAAATAGTGGGTTCACCTTAATACAATTGCTAACTTGAGTTTAGTAAATCAAGATACTAAATAATAATAAAACAACCCAGTACTATTTATTTAAAAAGAACCAAAAAATAAAAGTAATTTATGCTAACAATATGTACATTAAAATATTAAAAATTGACTATTAATTAACGAAAGAGTATTTAAAATAATAATGAAAATAATATTTATCACCAAGATTCCTCTTTTATCATCTCTAGAAGAAGGATATGGTAAAATTCTCCTCCTACATGCGTTTTTTCCTTCTTAGTTTGTAATCTTTAAGAGCTTTCTTCTTCTTCTTATGGTGGGGTTTTGGTGTTCTAGATGAGCAAGGTGATGAAGATGTGCTAGGTTGAGCTCCTAGAAGGTTTATGCTTGGATTTGCTAGCTTAAGAGGTAAACCCATGTCCATCAAAATGTTATTTTTCATTCTTATGTGGTTATATATTCCTTGTGTTCTCCTGAGTATGTTTTGTTGAGAAATCCATGAAATATGTCTTGTTCTTAATTGTATCTTGTGTTGGAAATGTGTCTATTCTTGTATCCTTGAAATCTTGATGGTGGATATGTATTTTGGTTTGAGATTATGAGGTTCTGAAGTGTATTTTGCTCTCTGTTGTCGAAGCCTACTGTTCTGCTTTGCATATGTCCTTTCACCTAAGGAGACTAGACCACGAGTCCAAGGAACCGATGAGTCAGTCCCGTCAGTTCAATTTTGGGCGGAGTGGTAGGTTGAAGAACCCACCACTCCCCCTACCGTTTCAGTAGCGGGATTGAGCAGTGGGTTCCTCGAGCCCGTCACTTGAGCTCGTTGGTTCTGTTGTCTTCAGTGTTGCAAAAATCCCGCCTAGGCACCGATTAATCGACGCCTAAGCGCTAGGCGCCCCTAGGCCGTGGCAATTTCCCCCATAGGCTCTCGCCTAGGCGCCCGCCTAGCGCCTAACTCGGCCGATTACGCCAAGTTAACTCGTCCATTTCTGTCGATTTAGCCGAGTTAACCCGGCCGACTCGACCTTGCTAAGTTTTTTCATTTATATGACACACACACACACACATACATACATACATACATACATACATACATACATATATATATATATATATATATATATATATATATATATATATATATATATGCTTGCGTTCAAATGAGGACAACAATATATAGAGGATTGTGAGGATAAATAATGGGCACACAATAAATTACTATCAGACACACAATTCAATACATAATGGCACACAAGAATACATGTAAACATCAGGTTTCGAACCCAGGCTCTATTAATTAACAAATGTATGCACGCGACATACAAACGGTGGCACACGACTACATTCGGCCATGCACACGACATATATGCACCTACACACGTGCACTATTTTTCTTTTTTTTAGTTAGCCGCCTAGGCGACCTCTTAGGCCCCGCCTAGGCTGTCTAGGCGCTAGGCGCTACTCTACCGCCCAACTAGCGCCTAGCGCCTACTGCAACCATGGTTGTCTTACTTTCAACTTTGTTTATGATATTCCATCTTGTTTTGGTCTATCTTCTGCTCTCAATCTAATTCGTGGTGAAGTATTATGAGCTTATAATCTTCTGTAAATTGTGTAGTGTCTCTCAATAAAATCCTATTTGAAATGCCAAGTGTTATATATATAATAACCCTTCATTTTGGTAACCTATATCTATATCTATATTTGAAGGATAATTCCTATGTTTGATATCAACCCTTTCTGTGTTGGACTGTGTGGGAGATTGAGCTTTGGCTCTGTACAAGTATGATTATTGTGTAGTAACCTGGTAGAAACATATCCTGGGTTACTTAAGTATGGTTCCGCTGGTTGGGCGGTGGTGACGGATGTGTGGGAAGTACCGTTCACTAGGCTTCACTGTGGTGGAGTTCTTGCCTTGCTAGGTTATTGTGATTGGGTGAGGTTCCGTTGATTGGGCGGTGGTGACGGTTGTGTGGGAAGCACCGTTCACTAGGCTTCACTGCGGTGGAGTTCTGCCTTGCTAGGTTATTGGCTGAGGTTCTACTAATTGGGCAGTGGTAACGGTTGTGTGGGAAGCACCGTTCACTAGGCTTCGTTGCGATGGAGTCCCTGCCTTGCTAGGCCCATTGCGATTAAGTAAGGTTCCGTTTTTTAGGCGGGGTGGCAGATATGTGGGATACACCATTCACTAGGCTTTGATGTGGTGGAGTCCCTGCCTTGCTAGGCCCATTGATACATCCACACTTGTCCATGACGCTTCGGTACTATAAATGATTGCACTTGAATATTATTATGATATGCTAACACTTGAAAAATGAGAATTGAATCACTTATGTGACTATGATATGATTTGGAAAGGATATTTGAATGTATTATGTGATATATCTCTCCTCTATATATATTTATATCTAGGAATACTCTTTGATTAAGGTTTGGATTATGAAACTACTATGTTTAGAACTATTGTTGTACTCCCTTGTATGGTTATTCTAAGTCTGAGTTAATATGAGTGATATTATCAAATGTTTCTCTAAAAGTTGAATCTGGTTTCAAAGTGTTTTATGAATATGAGGTCATGTTTCTGAATCTACCGTTCTAGCTGTGTACAAGTCTTTTGAAAACCTTCCTATAGGGTTTGTTAGATGGTAAATATGTTGCAAAACCTATTTTGATTATCAAAGTATATGTATGTAGTTTTACATGATGGAGTGGGGATTTGCTTAGCATTATTCGCTAACGTTTAAACTATGTTCAGGTTTGGAGTAGGGTAATCAAGATAGCTGTCTAGTTGTTGATGTAACCTTACTCCTTACTTTAGTTGGTTTTGATGAACTCTGTAGCTGCCTTATGTTTAGATTTGATGTATTGACTTTAGTATTATGTTGATTTCAGATTGTGAACTTAGTTAATCGCCTTAGCGTTTGGGTTATAGTGTTTACCTAAGCGTGGCGTGACACCCCTGACTAGTTTGGTTTTCAGCTTCCGCATTTTCAAATATTTCAAAAAGTTAAACTTTATCTCTTTACTTCCCTTTATTCTTTATATTTCCCTTGTTAGAAATTTGGGGGTGTTACAAGAGTTGTCAGACTTTTCGGCCGTTAGACCACTTAACTTGTGTTGAACATATCTTTTTGGTCTGCACAAAATGTCTAGGATTTTTAAGAAAAATCTTCCTTGGTATGTGAACCTAAGACTCTCTTTGCCTTTGGTCACATTCGCTAGTGTTTTAAGGTTTCGAACTGTTGGATTAGAGAATGTCTCGAGTAGTGCTTTACGAATGGTTAACTGTCACTGTTCCAGTTAACATTTCGAACCTTAACACTCTACTACCTCTTAGATACGAATGGTTGACCTAACCATTCGTTCCACTTTTACTTCGAAAGGTAGGCCATTCCATCATTCGGCATTTGCAACCTTTCCGTCTTGTAGTCTTCTACTCTTCGAATCTTCTTCGTCAGTTTTCAACTCTTCGAGGTCTTCATCTTCAAGCTATTCGAGAGATAACTATTTGGGTTACCATTTGAATGTTTTGTTGAGACTGACCGAAACGTATCCTTTTGAGTTATCATTCAGATTGTTTTGTCTATTCGAATTGTGACTTCTCGAGTTACTATTCGGACTTGTTAGTGTTTTAAATAGTCTAAAAAACCCCAACATGTAACTGGCATTATTATTATGGCAAATTAGATAAGCTTTAGTTTAGAGTCAATCAGTCTTTGAAGTATGAAGACATGATTAATCAGGAGATTCGTCAGAACCGTCTCTGGAGATTAAAGCCGTTGGAAGTCATTTATTGAAAGAGCGTATGTGCTGGCAGACACCATTAAGTCTTGAAGTGAATTTACAAGAAAGTCCTCAATCTGTTGGACACCTCAAAGGGTATGGACGTAATCCCATTAAGGTGTTGTTTGAATTTCTGATTACGTGCCCTGCACCCTTCAACCAGAGATATATATTATGAGAGCTGACAAGCCACGAATCGCTTACGGTTCTCATTTTTAATCGAGTGACGTCAAAAAGATTTCGGTATGCAAGGGTTGTGTGAAGATGTAAGGTGTAAAGGGAATAAAATGAGGAGTGAAAACCACCCCGAGTATCGTACTCAAGGAATGACAACTTGGAAGTTGAGTAGAAGGTACGGTGAGGTTGATTTGGCATTTGAGTGATTCGATTCAAGTAAGGTTGAGTAAAGAGTTGATTGATAAGGAACAAAGAATGAAGAGCTTAGAAGAAATAGAAAACAAATAAAGGGAAAACGGGTTAGGATTGTGCTCCAATTGTATTATGTGATTGGTTGCTCCCTAGAATGAGAGGTTGTCGTGAATTGAATGCGAGGTACTAGTCAAGAGGAACGGCTTGCTAGTGCATAGCCAATTCGGTCAAAACGCCTCTCGTAGGAATTCTCATTCTCTACGAGGCAATTTAACGAACACCTTGCCTACATTCCTTCCCGGGCCGTTGTCCTCTCGGATCTAGGGCGGGGAATGAAGATGGTTTAGAGGCCTACCTAGATTTAGCAATCTCTTGCCTAAATCTAGGAATCTAACATCAACTAAGGAGTTGGCCGCCACTCTAAGGAAGCTACAAAGATCTCCCACAACAACAAGACATCCATAACATCACAATCAATCACCACAATATGGGAAATCAAAACAAACCCATCAACAAATAGCAATTTTCACAACAATCCCAATCCCTAGAATTTTAGCCTACCATTATTAAGATCAAGATCATGCAATTGCAAAATAGGTAAAACAAGATATAAGCAATAAACCTTCGTCTTTAAGCTCCCGTTGCTTCTTTTTCTTCATATTTGTCTTCAGTTGCACGAAGATTCTCTTCAACTTCAAGGCGAATAAGGAGATGGGTGATCGACGACCCATCTCCGTCGATCAGACCATCAAAGAGCTCCGGGAACGTACGCAACTTCTACGCAGCGCGGGCTACGTACTGACCGAGGAGGCGATCATGGCCATACGCAATGGCGATCCCCTTCCTATGCCCTCCAAAGCCATCGTCAAGCCAAGGGCTGTTGATCGCCACCGGAATCGCAAGGATCGGACGAAGGCGGAGATTACCGATCACGAAACTAGGGTTTCGGCCAAGGTCTCGCCGCCGGCCATCCATGGCTCCGAAGGCCCCTCAACTGGTTGCGGAGAGGTCCAGGGATCTCTTGGGGCTGATTGGGATGCTCAGAATGATGATCGGAGATTGGCGGAGAAGTCCGATCGCGAAGCTAGGGTTCCGGCCGTCTCGCACTCGCCGGTGGTCCAGGGCTCCGATGACCCTTCTATCTCCGTCGGGGGTGGCCAGGAGACCTATGGAAGCGAGCGTGGTGAGCAGATTGGATTTCGGACGCTGGCAGAATCGCCGGCGAATTTTGGTCCCTCGACTTCTGGCCAGCCGACTCCGGTGAATATTCTGGCCTCCGTTGGTGGTGCTGGGCATTTAGAAGACATGGGGACGTCGCCGGGATTTGATATCCATGAACGGAAGGCAGATGGGCAGCTTAGAGCGTCGCCGGCGAGCCTAGGTCCTCCGACTTCATGCGCGACGATTCCGGCCAGTTTGCCGGTTTCTGGAGGTGGTCTCAGCTCTGTTGGGATGAGAGAAGATGGGTCGGAGAAGAACCATCGCTTTCAGGCAGGTGGTTCGACGGTGGAGCAATGTGTTTTCAGCGATGGTGTTAGCGATAAAAAGCGCGATTGCGCGAATTTGCCTAAGGTTGCAGACCTTCGCTCTGATGGGGCCGTGATCTCAGAGGAGGGGGGAGGAAGCACAGTGAAGGCCGGACGGCGGATGTGGGCGCATTTGCCCGTGAGGTCGCACCAGGCGCTAAGACCGTAAATAGGTCGCCGGCGGACAATTGTGGTCTTCGCAAAGCGGAGCTGGTTCCAGTGTCAATGGTGGTTGCCTCTACTGCAGAGGCTGGCCATGGAAAGGAGAAGGGAGATTGGAGGCAGGCGGCTTTGGCCTTGGCCTCCGTGAAAGGCGATTAGGAGAAAGCGAAGAAGATGGTAAAGCTCGACGATCTCTGGGAGCTCCTTCGTGCAGGCATGGACCTGGAAGAGGAGGGTCGTTGGCCGTCTGGCTTTCCCCTCCAAACGAAGTCCAAGCTCATCCGCACCAAGAAGGCAGCAAAGCATCGCCGGGTAGCCTCTTTTGTTCCGGTGGTGTCTCGGTCTTTGGCCGTGTCGCCGAAGGGAGACAAGAAGGTGGGGTTCACGAAGCTTGGTGGCCCAATGGTGGCTAAGTCCATCGACCAAGGTGGGTCTTCAACCTCTGGAAACCAACGAGGTGGCCTGGAATATTCGCACAACCCCCGTGCGCGTCGAAGCAGAAAGAAGACGTCTCGGGTGAGTCCTTATGTGGCCTCCCATGGCCAGGAGGTGAGAGCAAAGCAGCGCTACTTGCCAGGTAATCCTTCTTCTTCTCTGGTTAAGCTTGATCTTGGGAATGGGCATTCCTCGTCAATGGATCCTAATTGGCAAGCTCATGAGGAGCAAGCTGGTCATAGGTACATTGGTGGGGCTCCTAATCGGCCTACGCAATTTGACAAAGGTGGTAATGGGATGAGCAATGCCCATATTTCCCCTTTTGGCTGTTCGAATGTTGGAACTCCAAGTGTGGAACCGGCCAATAATTTTGGTGCAGTTTCACGCCAAGTTTTGCTTAGTTCCTCATCTTGTGATGCTACCTTTCCTCTTGCTGTTTCCAGTGGGGAATATGTTCCCCATGGAGTTGGTAGCAATGTATGTGGGCTATGCGTTAGTCCACTATCTAAGCCAAATGGGGAAGGGACACAAGGTGTGGGAGTTTCTGGTAGTGGGAATGTCCCCATGAGTCCGGCTTCTTTAGACCGAATTGGGGTGGGGAATAAGGCTTCGATTGGCTTAGCCAAGAGCCAACCCAACCCCAAATGTTTAGCACATAATCTATGCTTGTTATTTGGGTGGAAATGTCCATTCTTGATAGATGATAAGAGAGGGATGGTTGCTAATGCTAGTATGGTTCATGACACCATGCCAACATTAAGTCAATCGTTACTTCTCCACGAGTTGTTGGTTAGTCAAGCAGCTTGTGGAACTTTGGCCACCACACAATTCGGCCAAGCCACACCCACCCTTGCGTATAGCACAATTGTGCACTCTGAACCGGTGGGTAGGGAAGGCCGAATGGGTGAAATGGTTGGTGGTGGAGATGGCCGAGAGGATCGATAGGGTGGAGCAATGTTTTCTACAAAGGCCCCTTTGCCGGGGGTTAACCATACGGCAACAGGTAATGTTTCTGCTCCCCGCTCTCTTGATTTTAATCTAAGTGTGGGAAATGTTCAAGAGGCATCACTTATGCGCCCTAATCGGCATGCCCAAAGCGGGCAAGCTGGTCATAGGGCTCATGGGGGTGAAAATCCTAATCGGCTAGTCACTTTTGACAATGCTGGTCATAGGTCCCATGACGATGCTATATCGGATACATTAACCACGCTTAGAAGGCAAGGTATGCAAAATAATGGTGAGGATTGTGTAGCCAAATCCTCTTTTCTTTCAGTTCCAATCTTGCCTAGTCTGGGAACTGCCGCGATTTCAAATCACCCTAAGCCCCTTTCGGGCATTGTTGGATTGATTGGGACGGGGCAGCTTTCGGACACATTTAATCTAAATGCAGGCAACATTATAGCTACTAACCATGGGGGTGGAGGTAGTTCTCCCATCCTATTTGGTCAGTTTGGGGAGATGTTGTCTGCATCTAGCAAACTTGGGGACAATACGGGTGTGGATGGTTTGAAAGCTACGCAAACTGGTTTGTCCACACCTTTGAATGGTCCACAAGGGAATGTTATTGGGGGTAAGCAAGATGTATTGCCAACCCCCAATAACATTCCAAACCCGGGACATGACACCATTGAAGATGGTGTGCATGCCTCGGGTTCCACCGTGCCCAATGCTTGGGCACGGCTGGCTTCGCTTCATGCGCATAATGCAGCCCCAATGGGGGCACAAAACTTGGATAATACGGCTCAGGTAGGTAGCTCAGCATTGGCCGTGAGCTCAGGTACGCTTCCTTCCTTTGCTAGTCTTTTTGTCTCTACGGTTCTGCCAGCTCAAGGTGTTAATGCGGGCCATGCCTCGGGACTCAACATCCCGGATAAGATGGTTGAATCGTATGAGGGGGAGGCCTGCATTACCTTTGACGATACAGAGGTGCAACAGATGAACAAAATAGGGGAAACCCTTCTTCTTGGAAAATTCTCTTATGGCAGGCCCGTGCTTTCCGTTATAAGAGAGCACTTTGCCAAACGCTTGAAGTTGAAAGTAACTGTGAGTGTTGGTTTAGTGGACCCGCGGCACGTATCTCTTGCATTTTCCAGTCCGGAAGATTGCATTAACACGTTAGTCAAGGGTCTGATTCTCTTTGACGGGAAGTGCCCGATGAGGCTCTTTCGGTGGACAATGGACTTTGACACGAGGTTCGAGACGTCCTTGGCCCCGGTTTGGGTGTTATTGCCCAACCTTAAGGCCAACTGTTTCTCGGAGCCTTGTCTCAAACAGATTGTCAAACCTATTGGAAGGTTTCTACAGGTGGATACGCCTACGGCTAAGTTCACCCGGCCTAGTGTAGCTAGGGTGAAGGTTGAGATTGACTTGCTGAAACCCCGGTGTCGCAAGATGTTCATCTGATTAGGGACTGCGCGCCCGGATCGGGAGGCCGTGGGGTTTTGGCAGGCGATAGAGTATGAGCGTATCCCCCCGTATTGTTTGAACTGCAGGAAACAAGGCCATTTGGCCAACAGTTGCCGTGTCCCGGGTGGTGGGGCAAGTGCTCCACGCACCTCGGCAGCACATGTGCCGACATCAATGGTTGATGCTGGCCCGCTCCCTACCGGGGGGGTCGGCCAGGACCGGGGATCAGCTGTTGTGTTGGATCATCGGGACATGACGGCTAGTCAGAGGAAAAAACAAAGTAATAAGGAAAAGCAAATAAAAGGTAAGGCCCCGATGGTTGACAATAGTCAGGGGCCGGGTGTTGGTACAGGTAATAAGGTATGGCGGGCCCTTTCAGCTAGCCGGACTACCCCGGTACCGGTTAGTAATGGGTTTGCTGTGCTCCAGGATGAGGACTTAGCCTATGTAGAGGCTATTGTGGGGTCGGGGGGTGGCGACTTGCCATCTACCCCGGCTGACAGCAGGATATCTGTAGGTACGACAGCGCCCGGGGTAGGGAATGGCCAGTCACCTGACCAGTTGTCCACTATCCCGGAGGTTACGGAGGGTTTTAGCCCCTCGGGAGGCGGGCTGATTTGCAGAGCCCGCATCAGGTATCTTTCTCTTTCACTCCTATTGCTCATTCTCCTAAGGCTTCCTGGGGGCCGAGAAGGGGGAAGGAAAGGGCTTGGTCAGATTCCGACGTGCCGGTGCCTGGTCATGAGCGTGAGGAGTTGGCCCCGGAGTCGGGGTCAGACTCTGAGGATCGGGTGCTTGATGGTGTAGGCCCGGTAGGACGTCGGCTTATACATACCAGAAAAGGGGGGGACCCCTCTCACTCGGAGCCGGGTGTTTTATTGTCTATATGAAGATACTCGTTTGGAATGTGAGGGGGGTGTCCTCCCGGGGTTCTGCACGCAGGATCCGTGTTTTGTTAAGAATGCATTTTCCTTTTGTACTTTGTCTACTCGAGCCTTTCAGCTCGTCTGATTGGCTTGAGTTTTTTAGAATTCGTTTTCATTTTGATAATGTGTTTGCCTCTTGTAATAATAAAATTTGGCTTTTTTGGAATAATGACTTGGCAGTAACATTTGAGAGTCAGACTGAGCAGTGTGTTACGATATCTTGTGTGCACTCTACGGTTCTCACGCCTTTCTGGCTCTCATTTGTTTATGCCAAGA